TAATTTTGCATAAGTGTTATTTCAATTAAACACTTTGATTGGAAATAGTTAAAGGTTTCTTTTAGAACTGATTTAAAGGTAAAATTTGTTGGGGCTGGCAAGTGGTGTGCTGGTTAAGGTCACTGGACTCCTGCATGGCTGACCGCAGTTCGAGTCCCAGACCTGGTAAATAAATAAATAAATAAATAAATAAATAAATAAATAAATAAATAAAGTTAAAAAGAAAAAGTAGGATATATTACTTGGAGTTGTTTTATTATTATAGATTCTATCTTAAATGAAGTTATTTAAAAAGTATATCTTTTGATGGTTTTTCTAACTATTATACTTTTAGCAATGTATATAATTGGGGCCAGCAGGTAGCATGGTGGTTAAGGTGGTTAAGGTGCTAGACTCACACATGACTATGGTTCAAGTCCTGGACCTGGACAAATTAAAATAATAATAATAATAACAAATGGATTTAAGGAAATAAATAATTCTTTTAAAATGTATATAATTTATTGGTTAAAATAACTGAGATAATTTAAATAGTATATCCCCTCAAAATGAAGTAGCTTCATATAGCATTACCAATTATTGAACAAAATGCTTCTATTGGCAGATTTAATAAAAAGTAATTTTCATTATGTGTGCAACAAGCTTTTAACTAATATTTATTATAAAAGTGCAAAAGATAAATCCCTAGTTAATATACTTTCAATTATTTGCATATCTTAGACACTCAGTAAATATTTAAGTGTGAATAAAAACGTGATGAACAAGCAAAAAGTCCTCAGTGTAATTGTGATATCTAAACACACACACAACTGAAATCTTGTATTAAAAAGTTTCAAAATAACAATCTGGGATTTAGGAAAAATATTTTTAAATAACAAAATTTAACATTAGCGAATTTAGTCAGATTAAGTTTTAAAAACACAATGCTAGCACACCATAATACATAAAACACAAAATTGCTGAGGTAAATTATTAGACTTTTAAAACTAGGAATATTAGTAAATTCTTGTTTTATTTTTTATATTTATCAGTGAACAGTTTTATTTTTAGCATTTCTTTTGTGCTCTTTGCTTATCTTTTTTTTAGGTACTGAAATAGATCTATACTAACTTATCAAATGTCTCTTGTATGGCTAAAATGTATAGTGAATGGAACGTTAGTCATTTTAGTGAATGGTGAACCTCAGATTTGGGATAAGGCAAGTGTTGCTTTAAACAGAGAGGCACATATGAAGGAAAATGAATGCTTTAACGATATTACTTGATAGTGAAGAGATACCACAATATCATTGAATTTTAATGTATAAAGTTTATGTGGTTAAATTATCCTGTGACCCTTCATCATATTTTTCCTTTATATGTGTATGTGTGTTTGTGTGCGTGTGTGTGTGTATGTGTGTGTTTGGTGGGAGGGGCATGAATGCCTACTGGTGTAATTATCTAGATCATTTTCAGTAGGATAAAAACTCCAAAATTCTATGTATCACTACAGGAGAAACATTTGAATGACTGGTAACATTTTCATTTTTCATCTGGATGTTTCAGTAGTGTTGGTTTTGGTAGCCTTAAGTGATAAAACAGTATTTATCTGAATAAATATATATTTTTAGATAGCTTTTCAAAAACATTAGGTCTAGTATTAAAAAGATATAGCAAAAGTGTTTTTGGGAAATTGGTAGGGTTTTACAGTTTTAGTTTCTATTTCCTACTCCCTATTTATGGTGGTTTGCTTCATTATATTTTGCCATTAATATTCTACTTAGAGTAAAATGGAGCACACAGACTGAATTGTGACGATTCCAATGTTGTTAGAATTTTTTGTTTAAAAATCATGAAATTGGTCCTTGACTGCACATGGGATTTATGTTCCAGTTTTGTAGTCACTGGATTTCTCTTTAAATATTTCTATCCAGGCTTAGTTTCTGCCAGGAATATGTGTTTTCCTTCCATTTAAGATAAAATGAACTGCCAGGAATATGTATGGCAAAACCAAGGTCCCTCCGAGTTAAGGCCCCAGGGACATTGTAGAAGTCTAATATTCTTCCATGAGGTTGGCCCAGGCCACTGCAACTGTGAAATGAGATGATTTGAGGGCTATTACGTACTTAAGGTTTTCATAGTGGATTAGAATAGCATTACTTAGCGCAGGTGTTTCTATAATTGGGATTCCCTGTGAAAATTCAGTTCTGTATTCAATAACACTCAGCCTTCCGCATGAGTAGAGGAGTGACCCAATGTTAATTTGCTAGACTCTCATGAAGCAGGGGCTGGGATCTGGCTTGAGGGCCTGTTGCTTCTTGTTTATGACACTTCTTGTCCATTTGCACCGTTGCTGTGGTTCTACTTTTTAAATTTTAATTTATTTCATTGTTTATATTGTGCCTATCAAAATACTAAAAGACCCCATTTGGAGTCAGGGTTGATTTACGTCTATATAACACAAAATAGTTTCTGAGGGTCCTTTTTGGGGGATATGTAGGACTCATCTCCTTTGGTAAAGCCTTCTGTTTAAACATGGAAAGGGCAGAGGCACCCTTGGGGCACAGTTCACCAGGGAGCTCTGGTGTGGCCTTGCAGATATCCCAAAGCCTTGGAGGGTGTGTTCAGGAGTAACAAAGAACAACCACAATAAGCTATTTCAGGATTTAGCTAGGGGGTCCTTAAGCCTGGTGTCCTTTTAGTGCAAGGCATGCGTGTACCAAAAAACGGTGCATGAAAAAGGGCTTCTATAAGATGTAGAGGGGAAAATGGAAAATTGTTGCTATAAATAACAATCATCATTTTACCGAATCTACTGTTACACACTCAGAAGGATTGATTTCCTGGGAAATGGGCGAATATAGAGGTGAGAAGCGTCCAGCCTTCGCAGCAGGCGGCACGACCTCCTGGGCGTCCCTAGCCTGCACGCAATTCTCTTCTGGGAGACCCCCATTTATGACCTTCGATCTGGCCGCTCGCCTGGCCCCTTTGTCTTCTGTCCCGAAGGTGGAGGGCAAACGTGAGAAGAGCCCGGGGGAGTGCGGAGTCTGTCCGGAGTGGAGCTCACCCCAAAAGGGGGCTCGGTCCTAGGTTGGGACCGGAGCCGAGGTTGCCAGTTGTCGCAGCTGCTCCCACCCTCCGCCCTGCCTTGGGAGCTACTGCCTGAAGTTTCGGAGCCGCAGCCCCTGCCTTGGAGCTGCAGACTCCTTTGGTCCCAAGCCTTGTACTCTGCTGGGAGTGTGTGCCTTCGCTTGTTCCCGGCTGTGGCTTCAGCTAGTTTGCTCTTCTGGCTCTCACTGCCCTCGGCCCGGGCCTCGAGGGCAGGAGGTGCCTGGCTCTGCGCATCCGCCCGCTGGGCGCTCTCCCTTTGGTTCTCTTTCAAGCATTCCCGGGAGGTCGCGGAGGTTGCTGGGCCAGTAACAGCCAAGTTCGTCTCCACAGCCCCGAGCCGGGCGCAGTCTTCCAGTCGACCTCAAGGTGGCGACTTAGGCACGTAAACAAAGCTCAGCCAAACCGGACGGTTGGCACCCTCGCGGTTGATCCACGTAACATGCTAGTTTCCCCGCTGTTCCCGAGCGGGCTAAATTGACTTAAAAAAGGGACTTCAGTTTGGATGAGGAGTTCGGCCAGAATGTCAGAACGTGTGTGTGTGTGTGTGTGCGTCCCCGTTCGCGCGCGTGTGTAGGCGGCAGGAAGTGGCGACGCGATGGAAGCCCTCGGCCGAACCCGTTTGGGACGCCGCGAGCCTCCCTGGCATCACCTGAGCCCGCAGACCGAGCCACCCACTGGGCTGGGGCTTCAGGGCCGCTCTGCCCCCGAGATGGCTCGGTCAGTGCGCAACTGACAGGACAGTCTGGTCTCTGCCACCAGCCATGGAAGATGTGCTAATCTCGTTTCAGTGACACCCACAGTTTATGAGTGGAGAGACCTAAAAAATAAAAGCTATTCACTGCTTGTGCCCTTGTCGGGGGTATGACCGCTCAGCCCGAGTGGCAGGGGTACTTGGGAGTGGGAAGGTAGACACAGACGTGAAAGAATAAATGTGCGATAGGCACACAGTCTTACCTCCGGGACGAAAGGACACGGATCCTAGAACAGATTTCCATAGCGTCTGCATCCCAGCTGTTCCTCCAGAAGACGCTTTCCTAACACCGCCTTCTGACTAACTTGGACAAGGCTCCAGCTGCCCCCTCCTCTCCCCGCCACCCCTTTTTTTTCCCTTTCCAGACATTCCCTAAACTCAACTCAGGGCAAATCCAGAAGTCAGTACAGTACAGAGCTTCCATTCAATCGTGGGGAGGAAAAAAATCCCGTTTACAGTTTCTCTTAGGCAGATGGAAGAAGTAGATGGTTTCGGGACTTTCGAGGGGTGCGCGGGGATGGCATGGGGTATTGGTGGCAGGGGAGCGCGATTTCTCTTAGGTCTTGGTGCTGCAGGTAAGGTTCCCAGACTCCAGCTGCCCTTCTGCAGAGCGGCAGTGGGGGTGAGAGTGGAGGGATCCGTGTCTGATTAGAGGGGAGTGGAGGAGGGGGAGCAGAGGAGAAATGGACCCTGGACAGGCTCCACGGACACTCATTGTCTTGGTCTGTTTCGGCGCCGGCTCTGTGCTGCTGCCCTTGGGAGCTTTTTGAGCGAGGTACTATGTGCCAGGATTTTCCTCCTCTTCTTCCCCCACCCCTTTTGTATACTGTTTTTAAAAAGAAGTGAATACCCTTCTAACAGAAGTTAAAATTCTTCCTCTGACTTTCCATTTGACATGTCAAAAAGATGAAATAAATGAAACTTTATTTGACCAGGGAGTTTACCCGGAGCCTCGGTGACATCTCTGGTCTTTGGCCTTATTCTAATTCCATGGTGGTAATTACCCTTCGTTTCTTTAAGTGCAATAGATTTATTGCCTTAGAGACTATGCACAGTTTGATTGAATTATTCATTTTTTTTTCTTTGGTGTAGACTGCATCTGGGGACTCTGATGTGACGTGTAGATTTTTTTTTTTCAGGAACAAAGGGAATGTGGAAATGAAAGAGAGAGGGAGAGAGAGGCTGGCAGATGTAATGAGACGCGGTGAAGGTGTACGCAGACTGGCACTCCCACTCCTCCCTCCTGCTCTCACTGCAGCCCTGGGTAACTCGCAGGCTAACACAAACAGCTTCTCTCCCGCAGCCTGCCCTCTGTCACTGTAAGTACATCAGCCTTCTCTTATCAGCATGCAGACTCCAGCCACGCACTGCCTCGCTCGGCTTAGCACCTTAGACAGCAGGAGCACATTTTAAAATGAACTTTCCCGCACCAGGAAAGGCATGTCTGTAAAACTTATTTTTGATTTATCTTTATTTTTCTTTGTAAAAAAAGTTCATGCATTTTTACCACTTTCCCCCACCTCCTTTGTGACGGTGTTGTGTGCTGCTACTGTCGCTACCGCTGTGGTCTTCTCAACAGGATGACGCGCAGATGCCAATGAAATGTAAGGTTATTCTCCTTCCGTTTCAAGTCCGGGGACAGTGCCTCGTCCTTTTGCAAAACGACGTCCGTAAGAACGCAGAGCATTACTCACAGTCTGCTTTTTGCTTTTGTGGCTGACACACGAGTTCCGACCTCTTTGAGGCACAGTCCCAAGGGCACTGTTATTTGGGAGTTCGGCTATTTGGTTACTCCGAACTGAAATGAAGTGCGATGGCTGCTGGAGTGCCTGCTTGTTATCCCCTGTCAGGAACCCAGTTGCTAAAACTTTTCTCCGTGCTGTCATTAAAGTTTCAACTTCTTCTCTTTTGGCTTTGACACTTTCTCACTTATTCTTCGTTTCAGTACAAGTTCCCCTTCGTGGTGTTTTAGAGAGAATGAATTTGTGTTTGTCCCATTATACAGTGGCTATGAAGCTCTCCTTGAGAGAAGTTAGCGACCTTCAGATGAAGTAGTGTAGGTATGAATTGTGCGCACGGCTGGTGTA